TACTATGATCTCCCTTAGCATATGGTAATGAATTTTGAATCCTGACATAAGAGTACGATTCCTCATATAAGCTGCAAAAATGAGGTTTTTTATTAAAGGAACGTCAGTGCAACTGTTCCAAAATCTTTGCTGAAATTTAACTCATCATTCCCTCTTTTCTGAGCAGATTGACAGATTACAATTACGAAAATGTTGACTCGTGACCAAGAATATCGAGGAGGGAACAAGGCGGAATCTCCTTGCGAAGCCTCATAAAGGCGACCCATGGGTTCAGTCGAACAACAACAAACGCAGCGTCCGCCTTTGGACAATTGCGATGCATTATTGTGAAATAAGCGAACGTACCCAAACAAGCTGTTTCATTCCTCTGTCCCTTGGTCTGGAAAGGAATGTTTCCAGCTGCAACGAGAGCTTCTTGCGCGGAAGCCGCTGCCAGTCTCCCCGGCTGACCAAACAGAGAAGCTCTTCGCCACTCCATTGTGTCGCCAATGACGAAGGATAACTTGCTTATTTAGCGATGGTTACGTTGTGGATCAAGTTATGCCGCCCGATGTTGAGGAGTCACCTCTGATTCCTCATATGGAACGTCTGTAGGTTATCTGCGTCCGATTTCTGCAGTGTCCAGGTCATACAGCAAAATGGGCAAACTGCAGGTCTGCTGAAGTTTAATCTTGCTACGCTACAAGGGGAAGCTGAGCTCGATAGCCAGACGCACCAATGCGTTTATCGCTCAAGCGGAAGGCCAAGACAATGAAACGGCTCAGATCAGGGCTTCCACATGTTCACTGTCACTTTTAAGTTTTCTGGAAAATAGTGATCATGAAGCGGAAATGGTTGTTTTCATCTAAAGTTGCAAAGCAGTCTCCATATTCAGTTCTTTCTCATTTTCCAAATTTCCCCATAAATACCTCCGGGTCGATCGCTAACTTGCTGATCACTGTATCGAGGTCTCTTTGGACAATCGTGTAAATAGTCTGTTTCATAATTGTGCCTTCCAGTTCCTCATAGAACTGCTCGATCTCTTCATCTTCAGCTTGTTCGACTGGGCTTCTAAGCTTGGATCACTTCATTGTTTTTCTTTTGTTCAGCGTAGAAGTAAAATTCCCATGCGCGATGACATAATATCACAGCTAAGCACAAATGGTATAGAGTTCCTGTTTATCATGACCCCAACGCCGTTGGTCAAAGCTTGATTTTCGCAGACCTTCCCGAGGAATGTTTGGTCAGCATTGGTACATTGCGCAACAGATTCGGTAAATCTTCGTATTTTGCCTATTTCAATGAAGTCAGTCTAGATCTTCGCCGTATACATAATGTGGCATTGATATTTGTGTCTTTTGATAATGTTCTTGCAGTATTCCTGACTACAAAGACTTTTATGACGTTCCGTTTACCGTAATACGGTAATACTTCTTATGGCTTATTGAATCGAAGGTGTCCTACAGGCTGCTGTGACATTATGCGCCTCTTTTCGCTGATTCCATTTGCCTCTGGTCGTTTATTTTCAAGAGTAGTTGTCTGACAGTTAATTCTGAGTGCCACCCCTCGTGATCTATAGCCAATGCCTTCCCAACCTTCACCAAGCCCATTGGATTCAGACAAGTGGAGCACCTTGTGAGGCGTAGGTCGCTGAAAGATATCATTGGAAAGTTTCAGGCAACACCACTGGCTCAATCTACCAAAGCGCTCATTTCATCACAAAATAGTTATATTTCAAATTTCACAGTCGTCACAAGCCATTTTGATTTACTCACCTGGAGCTTCTCACTAACATATATCACGGGTTAATTCAACTAATTTTTGCAATTGACCACCATCCAGTTGTTCAGATTCGCAGTGGCGACCATAGCATTAAGCACTGACAACAACCAGCGGTTGTGGCCAGTACGTCAAAAACTGCGCGAGCATGTCCAGGCAGTAGGGAGGCATTGCTGGAAGGTTTGTTGTTACGTTAAAGGATTGGAAAGCTTCAGGCACCGCGAAATGCATTTCAGAACTATTTCGCAGGCGTCCATCTCATCTATAGATGATATACTGTCCCTGTCGTATAATCAGGACTAAAATTCATATGGTCCTTTCACATCACTCATTTCCACTTTCGAGTCTTCTCCGACATGCACACTGAAATCGTCCATTAGAATAATGCATTCCGCCTTCGGCACAATGTACAAAGCACCTTTTTCTTCTACTACGAATGATTAATATTTTACTTCCAAATTGGGCGACAGGACTTATAGAAAGATCAAATTTCCAGCCAGTTAGATTTACTCTCTAGTTCAATGATTCTACCAACCTGGTTCGGTTCCACCAGAACACAAACACCGGTATGATGAATCCCACACCTGAATTAGAAATGTTTGAAGCAGACTTTGAAAATTTTACAGATGCTTTATCGTCGAGAGTCAATTTCTACTTCGTAGCTCGCGAATTGATTAAATGGTTCCGGTTCTTTACCTTTGAATAAAGATGTACCGTAATTTACAAATGACTTCGAATTCTTGGGCGTTCCATTCGACCCTAATCTGACATACTAATGATGCTGTACTGTCTACCTCCTCAGCTCAAAACAGACATCGACTCCGAAGCTGACTTGCATCTCCCAGTAGACCAGTCGTAACCATCGCGGTAATGGTAAGAACTATATTGTAAGGGGTGAAGCAAGACCTGAATGCCGGCATTCTGTACTTTACCTCAGTTTCCGAAAAGAGGACGAAGAGTTCGGTAATCCAGATAACGATTAAAACGGTATAACTTCCAGTAGCGGCAATACCATGAGAAGCAAGTGAATGCGTTTCACGACAGAACACGCCGCGTTCCCAAGAGCTTGTTTTCTCATCCGGACATGGAACAACCAACAGCGTTTATTTCACATGCATGGGAAAAATTTTTTTGTAATACGTACGAAGCTGAATTCCACATGGTCAAGAGACAAACAGAGAAAGAAAAATAATGGAATACGGGAAATAAAGAAAGAGATGACACAATGTGAGAAATAAAAAATACACTCCGGTATCATATCAATCGGTTGACACAAATGGATTCCACTGAAAACAAGCAACGATTCATCACCATACAGCAGTACCTATTACTTTTATAGCACATTACAGCAAACAATGAATGTAAAATACACAAGTGCGAACTGAATCAACTACCTCCGAATATCTGACAATCACACGGATACGAATCATCATAAATGTACAGACGAAATTCATGGTTCAATATTCGCTCGAATCCGACGTGGTTAGCAAAGCTTACATTCGCCGCTCATCTATTTCCAAGGGGGTTGAAAAAATTTTTGTGGCGTTCGCTGATACAAAGCTCTGAAACAACAGAAAATTGACAGTTTCATGAAAACAGATAAACATTTATACCTCGCAGTGTCAAGACGGTCAGAACGTTCCCCTGAGATCGGCCCAAGCATTGTTCGAAATTCGCAGCCTGAATTCAAGTAATCGTTTAGATAATATAAAGAACAAAATAACAAACGTAATGATGAAAGATTTGGAAGGGAACTTTGGTGAAGACCACTTGTTGCTGTCAACACTCACCACTGCCATAGCCAGTTTAAATGTGTCTACTCGGACGATGTCAATAGCATCGAGTTTTACATCCAACTTTCTGTGAAGCTGTTGTCAAACATCAGAAGTTAAATCAATTTCGTACTATTGCAAGATTAAATCGCAGTCCCAGCGTGAGGTGAAGTGAATCAGTGCACAATCCTATAGCTGCGAGTTTGAAACCATGTAGATAACTGACAGGTAATTATTCAGATCAACCACCTGAGTTAAGCAGCCATGTTAACATAAATAACAACCGCCGTATGCAGAACAGGATGTTCCTCCAGAACTTGTGAATTTCGAAAATTCCTATTTACTTTTATAAATTCATTAGTGCCAAGTAACGAACATCAAGTACGAGCACGAACTTATATAATGTCGAGATGGTTATCTATATGAAATATTTGAATAATCAGCCTCCGGGACATCTCTGTGAGAACGAAGTCAAACCTTTGTAAATCTCAAAGTTTCATTTTTGTTTGATGACTGCAATGCAGTGATAATGGTAGGTCATTAGGCCAGCAAACATTCTGGTTGTAGCAACAAGCAAACATTTCACATGCCAATTTGCATCTCCTTTCAGATTTATTTAATTTAACTCAATGACCTCACGTAATCAAGATTTGAAATTATCACATAAAACTTCCTCCATGAAATTCATTAATCTCTAAAATTACCTATTATGGTCTGAAAAAGTTTGTGATGCAACATGATAAAATATATCGCAAAAAAGGAGAGAGAAAAATATCAAAATTCTACATGTTCAAAATGTGGAATACTGACACGCTTGACTCAATGACCTCATGCATTCACTGCAATGAAACAAAAATCGTTAACTTTGGCTCAAAAAATCAAAACTTCAAAAATCAAAAATCGTTAACTTTTCCTAAGCAACTCTGTGCAAGAAATTATACAGATGTAGAAGAATTTTTCTCTTGAAAAATCTCATTAATACCACAGGGACCGATAAAACCCGCTTATATATTTGTCGCTTCTCTGAATCAGCAACCAATTTACAGCATAAATCAGTTTCGTTTCACCGAATACAGTAACGTGATTTAACATCCACGCGCTGCAGTGGATATAATGAACCTATACCGTTGAAACAAAGGGAAATCTGCGACCTACGCCACGGAGTCACCAAAAGACAGGCGTTTTACTATTACCAATAGCAAAACTGGCATTTGCTAGCAAATACGGAGCTTTAAGGATATTTCCGTTTAAAATCTTACACTTGAAAAGTGTCTGAATT